GCTTCTCAGTAGCATAACTATAATAAAGACCTGGAGTCTGAACAAATTCCCACTTGTCTGATGTCACACGACCAGTTTCCACTTCAGGTCATGGTAGACTAATTTCTCACAGACTAACGCTTCTGCCAAAAACACCTTGAGAAGCTGGACGAAACCGTGAAGCAAACTAAAAGCAACCAAGAAGTAGTTTTTTGGGAGCCTACAGTGCAAGGGGGCAAAAATTGGAGGCCAGGGCCACCCAGGAGGCAAGGCACCAGAAAAAAATCCATGCCTTCAGTATGGACTCCCCAAAGTCTACATACTGGACACAAAGGCAATTCTGAAATTAACTAGACTGTCATCAGTTCTTTTCCTCATTGGATTGAGGTGTTCTGCGCCACCCTCCCCGAGTACTGAAGCAAAAGCAGATTCTCTCCAAAGGACAGTAGCATCATTTCATATCTCATATCAATATGTAGCACTCAAATGACAGTACCAAAAGGCAAGACTGAATTACCAAAAACAAGGAGGGGAAGAAAAGAGAATAGAAACAGACCCATAGAAGCCCAGATTTTGAATGTATAAACATCGTCCTCAAGATCTATGGATTAGTAGGTTCAAGAAATTCAGCAAGATGAATTTGAGTTGACAATTAGAAGTAATAAAAAAGGAGCAAAGGTGAGAATTATAAGACTAAAAAATATAATAACTGAAATTAAGAACTTGGTGGGTTTACCATAGATTAAACACAGCCAAAGAAAGGATTAGTAAATGGGAAGATAGCACAGAGGAATTAGAGATTTTAGGATACACATATAAAAGAACAGAAAACACAAAGAATATAAAAAAATTTTGCTTTGGACTGAATTTGTGTCTCATCTCAACCCTTGCCAAATTCACAGGCTAAGGCCCACTACCCAATGTGATTGTATTAGGTGGGTGGGGCCCTCATGAATGAGATTAGTCACATATTTATAAAAGAGACCCTGGAGAGCTCTCTTGCTGCTTCTGCTGTTCAGAGACACCATGAGAAGTTGGTTGTCTAGGAAGCAGGAAGCAGGCACTAATCAGATACCAAACCTGATCTTGATCTGGACTTCCCCACCTCCAAAACTGTGAGAAGTAAATTTGAACCACACAGTTTGTGGTGTTCAGTTATATAGTAGGCTGAAATGAGATTTACGTACATGTAATCGGTGTCCCAAAAGAGTGGATGGGGATGGGGAGAGTTCGGCAAAAGGGTGGCAGGGCTATTTGAAGTGGTAAATGCTGGTGCCACATGACTGGCGGAGAGCCAAGCCAGCTCTCCTCGCTTCAGATTTAGCACCTTTAAAACATGTTTTATCGTGTTAAGTAACACACAGAAAATGTCTTTTTTTTTTCTTAAGATTTTATTTATTTAGTTGACAGAGATACAGTGAGAGAGGGAACACAAGCAGGGGGAGTGGGAGAGGGAGAAGCAGGCTTTCCGCAGAGCAAGGAGCCTGATTTAAGTACATGTGTAACCCAGGTCAAGTTCAGGAAACAGGACATTGCTGGTACTCTAGAAGCTACTGCCCATCCCAGATTAGCCTCCTGATTGCACCATACCTCCAAGTAGAGGTAATTGCTACCTTTAATTTTATGAAAATAATTTCCTTGATTGTTTAAACCTAAGTATGTATCCCTAAACAGAACATTTTAGTTTTGCTTGCATTTGTCTCTCAACGTAGGTATTCTCACAAAACCCTGTCAGGGTTCTTGACTGGCTTCAAATTAGAGTGCAGAGTCACAGTGTCAGCATACCGCTGCTAGCCGAAGGGAGCATGGCCTCGTTCTTTTTCACCCGACTCCCCTAAGTCATTCTAGAAGATGGACAAGATGTGGACAAGGCTGGTGGCATCGCCTCCCCAGGGGTCTTCCTCCGCTTCGTGCTCTTTCGCTTTCTCTGGAGGCAGAGTTGTTTTGGGTCTGGAGCCGCTCCATCTGTCAGACCCAGGGAACTGGCCCAGTTTAAGGAAAGGAGATTCTGCCCACCTGTGTCCCAGCTGTGTCATTGAGGCAGCTCCACACCAGAATGTCTGGCGGGGCCGGAGTCCTCAGGACAGAATCAGAAAGGCATCCACAGCCTGGGGGTGAGGTTGGCCATAGAGTTCCCCACTTTGAGGGGCTACTCAGCCCATCAGTGACATTCATATCTTTTTCTTATGGCTCTGAACATTTGAAAACACTGCTGGTGGTTGGTGCAGATGGCATTTCTGTTCTAAGACCATATCAGCATCCTGCGGATGGCTCACTGAGACGCAGATGGCCAGGTTAAAACACAGATGGCTGGGCCCCACCCTGCAGTTTCTGATTCAGCCGGTCTGGGGGTGAGGCCTGGGAATTTGCTTTTTTCTGACAAGTTCCTGGGTGATGCTACTGCTGGTACTGGTCTTGGGAGCCCACCTTGAGCACCACCGGTCGAGCTCATCTTCAGGCTTCATTTAGTGCTAGTTAGAGATTGGAAAATCTGCCCAGAATGAACCAAGAATCCCCCAAGTGTTCAGCATTCCTGCTTCACATAAACTTGGTTTGTTCTACGTCCTTAACTTTTAAGGTTTCTGCTCAAGAGCCCATGAAATTAAAAATTACCTTCTCCGCTGTATCGGCGCTCCTGCCGTTAACACCCAAATGCACATGGCGTGCCATGATGTTAAATTAAGGAGCTTAAATTAAAAGCACATTTCCCTGTTCAGAAAGTCATCTGTTGATCATTTGGCTTAATTAAAATGGGGTATATCGTGTACTTACCCTGACTCACCTCGACCACAATGCTGCTTAATCTGAATTGATTCAGGGATCTATAAAACTAGCACAGTGCCTGGCTTGTGCTAAACTATAAAAGGGAGATTGCCTTCTGTGTGTGTGTGTGTGTGTGTGTGTGTGTGTGTGTGTGTGTGTATAATAGAAGCTTGAAACTAAACATTGCTTTAAGGGAAACCAGAAGCCCCCAGGAGAGGATTGAGTGGTACATAAGCTGTATGGACTATTGCACTAGGACTAATAACTGTTGTGACAGCAACAATGACGCCGGTGCTCCAAGCCTTGCTCACACGTGGAGGACCTGTCAGGCAGAAACCTGTTTCACTTGGTTCTTTTTTCAGAGCCACACACAGCAACCAACTTGGAAAATAACACAGAGGATACCGAGGGTTAGCTTGCACCCATCTTGTTCAGTCCCATGAGAACAGTCACGATTGGAGAATTGATTAGAATTACTTAGAATGACGTTTTGTGCAGTTTAGAATATTACATTGACAGGGCGGGTTGACAGGATCATATGTGACATCAGGGTTTGTGATGATTCGTTTCTAAGAGGTCTAGTGGAGGAAATAACTTCCAAGTTCTGTGTCATCCTCCCCACTCCCTAACCGTCACACGCCCATGACTCTGAAAATGGTATGTCGCCTGAGGTTAACTCTGTGTCTTCCTGAAGGTCCAGCCCACTAGCACTTCCTGCGTCTCCTCCAGGGCATCAAGTCCCAGGGTTAGCACGGAGATAGAATGGGACCTTTCCCTCAAAGATTTCTCTTTGGTTTGTTTGGGGCGGAGGGATCCATAAATACAGGCTGTGAATACAGTTGTCACTTGATTCTTGCACGGTAGCAGCTGTGACTGGTGGGTGAGCCCCACAGTGCTTTTGTAGAGTTGAATGCCCTTGCATATCCATTTCCCTGGGATGTCATTGGTTTATGGGATTTTCACTTGTTTTGCAAGATTTTGCACACTTTGGACCAAAGGTTTGTAAGTTGCGTGTAAAAGTGGCTGATGTGCTTGTTAATTTTGTCCCCGTGGGACCACACAAAACGGGGCGGGTCCTCCGCAGCAGGAAATTAGTTGGGTCTTGAGAACCAGTGAACCCTGCTGTAGGAATCCCTTTAAGAGCTATAGTAGGCTCCTACCATCTGTACGGCTCTCTGGAATACAGAGTGGAGAAGATGTGGTCCACCTGGCCTAATGCATAGTGAAGGGATAGGACGAACGTGTAAATTATTTATTACAGAACAGTTACTGGAGTACACTCTGCTCCTGTCCCTGGAAGTTGTCAGCTTTCTGCTGTATGGCAAGCCAAAGAAGGGAAGAACTTATCTCAATTGAGAGAGGTTTCTTCAGGTGGAAAACCTTTTAGCTTGTAGCCTTGCAGGAATGATCGTCCAGGGTAGCGACAGGATGGCTCAAAGAACAACGTGAACTGCAGTGAGAGTGGGACAGTGGGACAGTGACATCTAATTGATTAGATCTGTAGGCAGGGCCACGTGACACACCCCATGTGGACACAATGCCAGTGGGCAATTGGGTTTTATTCTGGAGCCACTGAGGGGGACCAGCCTCCTTCCACTTCCCCATCAGCTGGCTAGTCAATGTCTCAGAATAGGCAGGACCACTTTTAATAAAAAATGACGATACCTTTCTTAAATCGATTCACATATAAATAAGGCACTGACATAATCGCAAAATCAGGCACTTCTCAGTAAAATCTGCGCTTAAACCGTAGTACAGCCCCACCACCACCCCCGGATATTACAAACCATGTTTAAAACTCCGGAGTTTTCAACTGCTCTTACTTATTTTTAAATAGCTTAGAATTAGAAAAATTTTGATGGCTTCATTTCTAATGGAGGGAAATTTCTAGCTGCTGCCTATATGCAGACCACTTTTTAGAAATTCCCAGTTTATTAGAAACAGGCTGGGGAAAAAAATTTCAAGTTTCTTCAGCATCAGGGTAACACCAGTATCCCACACGCTATGTATGGGGTCCCCAATTTTCGAATAACTGAAATACATTTGGCACGGACGCTGCACTAAGCAAAATGGAGTTTTGCTTGGACTCAGAGCACGCGAGGTCGCATGGCCCCTGGGTCGCTGGGAGCCTCAGGTGTCGTGCTAGGTACTGCCGCACACCCGGCGTGCGTGCGTGCGTGCGTGCGTGCTGCGTGGGGGCGTTCTCCCGCGTCTCCTGCCGGCGGCCGGTCCTGACTCGTGTTCCGTTTCCTCCGCAGCCCAGTGACTTCTCCGTGTCTCTGAAAGCGTCAGGGAAGAACAAACATTTCAAGGTGCAGCTTGTGGACAATGTCTACTGCATCGGGCAGCGGCGGTTTCACACCATGGACGAGTTGGTGGAACACTACAAAAAGGCGCCCATCTTCACCAGTGAGCACGGGGAGAAGCTCTACCTCGTCCGAGCGCTGCAGTGACGCCCACGGCCCCTGCCACCTCCAGGCCCTCGGTGCCACACTCACCTTCCCGGAGCCGGGCGCGTGCGCCCCCGGAAGAGGCCGCGCTCACGGGCCCTCCTGCAGCGGGCTCTGCTCTGTCCGGTGGTTCATCGGTCCTTGGCTTCCTTGGCCTCGTTTACCTTTGCGTGCAGGTCGGTCTGTTTTTCCGCTCGCCTCCCCTCTGCCAGGCCGGGCCGTGGCACCCACTTGCCGGCCTGCCCTCCTCCCGGCCAGGTTTCAAACGAGAGGTGCAAGAGGGGGCTGTTCGATCACGGCTCTCCTGCTCAACTGAAAACAGCCTTAGTCTGTTCAGATGGTTCGCGCTAACAGAAGCCCTCCTTAAACAGACATCGGGCACGGTTTGAACGCACCGAAGCTGCCGTTAAGTGAACTACAGTACAACTCAGAAAGCGGGGCGGGCGCTCTTGCAGAGGGCCCCGGTCCTGGGCCTGGCAGCCGTGGCTCCATGCCCTTTGCCCTTGCGTGGCTCCCAGACTGTCCAGGGAGTGGACACGCCTTGCTGGTAGCAATACCAGAACCACCAGATGAGAGAGTAGTGAGGAAAGTCCAGTGCCTTCGGGGCTATGCTTGCAATAAAAGAATTTCCTTGAAAGTCAGTCTGCAGAAGCCAGACCTGTGACCCAGACAGACAGATGCTGTGGTCATTTACCCCCAGATGTGCCATCCGCCTAGTGCTTTTTCCTCTCGCCCTGCGGCTTGTTTAAATTTCACAATTATGTATTTAATTCTCAAAGTAATATGTATCCGTAGCCATTTGTTGACACTAATACAGATGATTAAGGAAAACAGCTGATCTTTGGGGAAGGGGAGCTACCATACACTTTATAGACACACACACACACACACACACACACACCCCATATATATATATATATATAATATATATATATATTATTTGCTTTACAGGGAATTTTTCAGGGTTTACAAGAGAATATGTGATTGGTAGTAAGAGACACAGAATGTTTATGAAGAAATTGCATTTTCTTTTTTCTTTACATTTGAACTTCTTTATAGTTTAAATATACAGTCTTGAGATGGCACATTCCTACAACAGAAGAAGGGGTCTTGAGACCTCCTAAACTTGCATACTCAGTTTTTTGGATATTGTAATAAAAAAAAAGTATTATGACAAGACTATGTGTGTATTTATCTTTGGGAAAACTCAGAGTCCATTCCGGGAGAGTAATTGCTCCAGCATTTACTGGTTCCTCAGTGTCTACGGGAAAACAATTTTTAGAAAGGAGTTTTAACAAATTTATTATTTGCATGTTTTCTTTTTCTACCACCACATATTTTGTATGCTGAAATAATAAATTTTAATTAATGAAACTCCAAGAGAAAGCAGAATCTCAAGCTTGGTCCTAACTTTACTCTTTGGAAATTATTTGTTTAAAAATGTTGCACCGAACTTTTGTCAGCCATACTGCTCAGCACCAGCTTTTTTCTCTCCCACCCGTGTCTTACTTCCAGTCGCTCAGTTGGTAAGCAAATCTCAAGCAGTTGCAACATGCCAGGCACAGGAAACAAAGTCAAATCACAGGGGAGTTGTGCCATTACTGACTAATGAACAGCACATGTGTCCTCAGTGCCCTGTCTATGCCAGACAGGGTGTCCTCACTTAGTCCTCATCACAACCCCCTAAGGTGGTCTTATTCTCATCCCCCTTATGCAGATGGAGAAAATGAGGCAGGAAGTAAATGCACAAGGTCATGGCGCTGGTACTTGGTCAGGCAGTTGCAAACCCAGAAAGCTGGCTTTGGTGCCACCCCCTTCCAACACCAACCCCAGGGGTTTCCAGCAGAAATAAGTAGTTTGGTGAAAGCTTGCACTTAACCTGCCATTCCTGTTCTCTGTGAGTTCGTCGTTCTCTTTGTTGCCTGTGATATAAATCAGAAGTTTGGGGTCTGGTACCTGAAGCTGGGGTACCCAGTTCTGTAAGAATATATATTCAGATGAGCGAAGTGGATCATTACTTCAGACAAAGCACATCTGTCCTATACCTTATCCCTGGAAATTACAAGTGCTTCTGACTTTTTCAGGTCTCGGTGTTGTGTGTTCCATTTTGACCTGATGTTAGAATCCGTTCATACGGTAAGTGTCTGGATAGCTGAAAGGCTTGGGTTTACACAAAGCAAGTAAGGAAGAAACAAGCAATTAAAGGATGCAGTACAGATAGATATTCTGGCTTCAGGAACTTTTCTAAGGCTTGTAGTTAAAATTGACCGTCATTTTCAATCTTGCCCCAAACCCCCGTGGGAAGTCCTCCAGCTGCCTGGGACAGATCAGGATTTGTATTTATGAAGGTTTCAGCATCCCCAGACTTCCCAGCACCAGGTGGACCAGTGGAGGGTGGATTGATAGCCCCAGTTCGAGCCTGCTGACAGTGGGGAAGGCGGTCAAGGCAGAGTCCCCGTGTGGTTTGGAGTGTGAACGGACCGTCAATGCCCTGTCCAGGTGGCCCTTCTGCCATCACCTTGCTGCATGTCCGAGATTTCCTGGACAGATCTTGCTTTGCCATTCCCTTGTCTCTGCACAGACGGCAAAGGACAATAAAGGGCAGTCATTTTATAGTTGTGTGACTCCGCTCATTTGTTTGCATTCAGTGTGCCTTCATTTTTCAGAAACAGCCCTGCTGAGTTACGGCCCTGAACCACCAAGCCCTCACACGTGACGAGTGCCAGATGCTATTAAATCATGTTTCTAGGGAACTAAAACTGGCCATGTTTTCTCCCAAAGTGCATCACAAATTATAGTCTTAAATTATAATTAGAATCTTTAGGTCTACTGAAACTCTGATATTCCCAAGCTAAATATTTTCGGTACCAGTACAATTTTGTCTTTGGCTTCTATCTGTGAAGCGGTTTATAAACTACTCTTCCTAATTTCTACCACCCAATACCAGAATGCCAAATTAATTTTAAGACCAAAACTTAGAACTGTGAGAGCCTAGAAAAGCTTGAAAGTATTCTTTTAAAATAAAACCTCACGGTAAATACAGCTCTGGTCTTGGCCACTTTCCCACTAGAACTCAGCCATAGGTGTTAATTCGTGTAATCACCACTCATGTGATCAATACAGTGGTTTTAGGTCTGTCTGTCTGAAACCTTGCGGGGTTGCTGTCTGCTCTCTCACAAAGCAGAATCCCTTTTTCAGGCTTGGGAGCTGCTGCCAAAGCCAAGTGTGATAGGAGCGCCCAGTTATCCTTATTAACCCTGTCACTTCAAGCGAATTAGCCAGCTTCTCTGAGTGTGTTGGCCTGCGGGCAAACGGGGCTGCTCACCATGTTGGCAATTCCCAGGGCTGTGTGAGGATTATCTGCGGTAGAGCACTAGACCAACTTGGCAGGACATGCTCCACAGTACTAAGCAATGCCAGTCAGGCCGATTGTGTGTCACATAATCTACTTGACATTTTTCCTCATTTGTTGGAGTCACAGGCTTCCTCAGAGGGCCCCACTGCAAAGGTGTGGCTCCATGAGACCCTCGATGTGGCCCCTACCAGCAGTGTCAGCACCAATCCACCCCCACTTTTTAGAACATAGACTAAAAGTACGCAAGGACATGTATTCCAAGAAACTCCTCATTCTAAATATGGGACCCATCTTTCATTAGAAGCCCAGGCCCCAAAGCCATACTTGGCCACACTGAGCACCATACTTAGACCACATTCTTACCTCAGGTATTCGACAAATTCACATCCCCTAAAAAAAATCCTCCCTTGAGGAGCAGACATCTTTGTTTTCTCCTTGATGGCTGGGAAGGGGAGGGGGCATGGAGGGCAGAATAAAACATCCTCCAAGTTCCTTATGTTTCTCAGCCTGAGCTGACAACACAAGAGTCATTGAGTACTAGGCAAAAGTTGAGTAGGCCAACCAATGCTCAGAAGACCTCTGCCCCCTATCTTAGCTCATGCTGTTATAACAAAATACCATAAGCCAAATGGCTCATAAATAAAAGAGATTTGTTTCTCACAGTTTTGGAGACTGGAGGTCTCAGATCAGGATGCCAGTGTGGTCAGGTTCTGATGAGAACCCTCTCCCAGGATGCAGACCTCCGACCTGCCATGTTGTCTCCTCAAATGGCAGGAAGAGAGTTGGCTAGCTCGCTGGCCTCTTCCCATAAGGGCAATAGTTATATTTGTAAGGGCACCTTCCTCGTCACTGAACTCCCTCCCAAAGGCCCTGCCTCCAAATGCTATCACATTGTGGATTAGATGTTAACATGAATTTGGAGGCAGTGCAAACACTCAGTCCCTAATGCCATCTTCTCAAAAAGCCTTCACACTCTGAGGACACTGGTAGTTGCTGTTCTAAATACAGCTCACTCAGACCTAGATGGCTTATAGTTCCAACCCTTCGAGAATGTTCTTTCATGCAGTTTTTTAACTGCCAGATTCCAATTTAAAGGGGGCAAGGGGCACGTGCATTTTTAACATGCTCCCTGGAGATTCTGATGGCGGTGGTTTGAGGCCTACGCTTTGGATACTGTTCTAGTCTGCTTGAAACCTTCGGAAAAATCACCTCTTCCCAACCCCTTGTGTTCACATTACTGAAAACACACACCTTCTGTAGCATGTCCTTTCTTTGGATCGTATAGAGAGAAGTGTCAGACCTTGAATAACTAGAGCTGTCTTTTTTAAAGAGTAATCTTTATTTGCCTTAATCTCCATGTGGATTTCCCATATCACAGCTCCCAGCCGTACAAGCTAACTGGAAAGACTCATTCCATCCTTGGAGGATCCCATCACTTGGCAGGAAGTTATTACCTAAGATGGATGAGACTGACAGCTGGTATAAAAGCTCACTTCGACAGATTTTTTTAAAAATGCATGGCCTCCTCCCCAGGGGATGGGTGTTTGATCAACTCCTCAGCTTGGGCATCAGGCTCTGGAGCCAAAGTCAGGAACCAGAGGACCAGAGCTCCAGCTCCTGCTGATGCCGCTTTCCAAGAATAGGTCATGGCCTGGGGAAAGTCCAAGTCCAAAGAGGCAGTAGTCCTATCTTCATGGTAGTCAAACCCTTTTGGCTTCCACCCTGGGGGTAAGCATGGGCTCTGCCCTTCTCCAGCACCTTGACCGCCACGTTTGGAGACCTCTGTTCTTCAATGGCCTCAGAAACACTGGCGCAGAGCAGCACTTTCTGCCCAACCCTTTCAGGATGATATTATAGTTGTCAGACATTATTATACATGTAGATAAGGTGAACTGCTTTGCATAATAATGTAACATGCTTAGAAGCTTCATACAGCTTGTTAAGTATCTTAATGAAAAAGGAAAAAGAGATTAATAGGCTAGATTATTATCTAAACGAAGCCCGAGGTAACCCATAGTTCCAGACCATGTCTGCTTGTAGACCCACAGAGGCACTGTATTCAAATGATTTCGACCTCCAGCTGCCATCTAGTCACAGATGGGATTCAGATGCTGGTGGTGTTCATTGCTACAAAGACAAGCAGTTCCCTTCCAGCGCTGTGAATAGTAAATAAGAATAAAGGAATGAACTTGAAGTAACGAAACCAGTTAAAACCACCGCCTAACCAGAATGTAGATATCCAAATAGCATGTAAATCACAGTGGTCACAGTAGGTGTTGGAAGCTCAAGGGTGCAGCGTTTGTTCAACAAGCTTTCGGAGCTCTTCTTTGGGAATGGCCAATCCATGCTGCAGGTGTAGCCTCTGACTTCTCAGCGGTAGATTTTCTTGGTGGGGACGGTGATATTGGCTACAAAGTTATCAGGAAATCATTTTGAGCAATTGAAAATATTGTGTTTTCTTTACATGTCTTAATGTTCACCAAATTTCTACAACAGATAGAAATTATTTGAAGGAAATATACATCAAAAAAATTCTTCTGTATTTAAAATTGCATGGACCAAAATGAGGTGGACACAGAGTCAATGCTCCATTTGTTGTACTGGTTGTAGAAAAATATTTAGGAGAGAGTGACTCTTGGAACACTGAAAAAAAATAAAAAATAAAACCTCTAAGATGAACAACTGAAAAAAAGAAAAAAGAAAGAGTTCTGCTCTGGACTTTGCTTGGCCTTCCTGGGGGTATTAGAAAATAATTTTATCGGTAGCCAACTTTTTCACGAAAAATAATGGTTAAAATCATAATTGCCAAATTAAAAATACAGTG